TGGTGCTCCAACTTTGTGGGGGAGAGAGAGGGAAGCTGGAGCCCCACTGCAGGCTCTCTGCTCTGGGGAAACAGGGAGGAGGTTGAGCTTGAGCCGTGGACCACCTGGGAGTAATCGTGAACCTCTAGTAGTCTACAGACCACAGTTTGAGAACCACTGAGTTAAGTCCATTGTATTACCACTGTGACTACAAATTTAATAGGTGCTCCAACTTTGTGGGGGAGAGAGAGGGAAGCTGGAGCCCCACTGCAGGCTCTCTGCTCTGGGGAAACAGGGAGGAGGTTGAGCTTGAGCCGTGGACCACCTGGGAGTAATCGTGAACCTCTAGTAGTCTACAGACCACAGTTTGAGAACCACTGAGTTAAGTCCATTGTATTACCACTGTGACTACAAATTTAATATTAATTCAAGTAAGATTGGTTTGAAACTGAACTTTGTGCTGCAGTTCAATGTGATACAGTAAAAGGGAAATTAAACCAACTTTAGCTTTGGCAACAGTAATAGTGAATACATTTTTAAAAATACTCTTGTACAACACATGGGAAAAGTACCTTCTTTTCACAAGCACTTCTTCCATGCTGGGCAAAAAACAAATTTTGCATTTTTTTAAACCATTATTGTAGCCAATTCTACAACTTGCTTGCACACTCTCTTCCCTTATAAGAATCTTTCTGGCAAAAGAAGTCAGTCAGAGAATATGGTCTTTTTCTGGAAAGTTAGACTACAGCTTTGTTTTTATACTTTCCCTCATATTCTGAATTGGACATAAATATATTCCTTGTCCTGTGGAGTGTTTCTGATTAATTTGCTCAAATTAATTTCTTAAAAGATACAACAGTTATCCTAAAAATCCAGACTCATTAGATTATGTAGTAATTACAAAAACAATTCAAGGGTGGAAGCCTTCATAGATTTTTATTTGTTCTGACAAAAAGGGAAATACCCACAGTACTCTACACTAAGGTCAACAGTAATCATACGTATGTTATTGCCAATTTATGCTTTTTAATTTTTTTAGTAGTACTTCTCTATTTAAAAGGTGTTACATATTTTTGAGGACGTAAATTCAGTGAAAATCCCCCTCCATGCTAATGCTTGGAATCTACTATCACAATTCAATTTCCTCCGATCCTCATTCAGTGCAGAAGAAAAGTCCATTTGACTGAATAAATTAAACTGAGAGTTACAGAGCATGGAATTTTCTCAAGTGAATTCAGTGGGACTATTGCCAGGATCAAAGATAAGCATGGGGTAAATATTTGCAGAACTAGACCCCTTGTAGGCAGTGTTCCCTGTAAACTATGTGCTTGTGTGGCTGCTCAGGAAAAATTCAAATGCTGCCCAGCTGATTAGCAGAGTGCCCACAATGTTCCACTGGTGGTGAACATTCACACATACCTGAGGATTATTCTAGCAGTGGGTGGGTTAGATTCTGTGGCCTGCATTGTGCAGGGGATCAGACTAGATGATCATAATTGTCCCTTCTGACCTTAAAGACTATGAGTGCACATAAAACATTTATTCTGCACATGATAGAAAAAAATCCACACAGTGATGGAAAAGATTAGAGGGAACATGGCTTGGAGATTTTATATATGTGTTTTGTAAGAAAGTTCTTACAGAAAAATAAACAAAATGTGACTTATTTGCATACAGTTATGGTGCATAAGTATTGGCATCTAATTAATTTATTTAAACTGTAGTTATGGATTTTCTATTGTAAAAATGCTGATGCTGAAGGTAGGGATTTAAGAGTTTAACCCTAAGTTTAACCTGGAAAGTAAATATGAAGGCACCACCTAAAATGAGAATAATCAGGACAAACAAGAATGATTTTTTCTATGTAAGTCTTAACACTATGTTTGAAAAAATATTTAAGTACCGAAACTACTCAGAAGTGGATAAAACTTAATCAAATTAATTCAAACATTTTCAAAGGATACAAGTTATCCTAAAAATCCACACTCATTAGATTCCACTGTAAATACAAAAACAATTCAAGGCTGCAATTCTTCAGTCAGATCTATGTAGGTAAATTCTGTGCAGAGCCCCACTGAAATAGCAAGCCTGTGTCAGCAAATGTAGGCTGAAAGTACAGTTATGATGTCTTAGAACTTTTATGTAGGACAAAAGAATACAAGATGGGCAGGTTATGTCATTCAAATTCAGTATCTTCTTGGTAACAGAAATCAATGTGATAATGCATCTGTTTATTCCAACATGAAAAAGTATGCTTTGTATTTTGTACTTTCATTTTGATGGTTCAGTTGTCATAGAATTAATTTAGACTTAATAGTTTTGTTGAATAACTACAACAAATACAAATATACTCTTTTCACATAAAGCTTTCAAACCATAGAAATGGCTGCCATTACAAGTGTCTTCAATTCAAGTTGCAATTGTTAGAGTGATCAGAGAATAATAAAGCTGATATCATGGCTCACTATCCAATTTTTAAAATTTAGACTGGATTTTTTAATACTTATAGATTAAGTAAAGCAATTTAACAATGTTTTCAGCATAATATAATGCTTAGATGTTTATCTCACATTGACCTTAATAGGTGCCACAACTGTTAGGGCAGAGTATGCAAATACTATCTATGCATCCTGTAAGATGTCTTTAAGAACTCAAACATAACTGGAGGGCATGTCTTCACTCTCCATGCTGGACACTGATGTTCTGGCATTAGATTTAGCGGGTCTAATATAGACTCGCTAAATCAAACTCTGAGGGCAGCTCCAGCCAGCTTCTGTATTTCTCGCAGTCATGAGGAGTAAGGGAAGTCGATGGGTACATTTGCTCCCATTGGACTCCTGCAGTGGGGATGGCACCAAGCTTCAGCTTAAGGTAAGCAGACACCAGCTACGTATTCTACATAGCAGGTGCCTTAAGCCAACCTTCCAGGTCTTGTGTAGACCTGGCCTGAGGGATTTTATCAACTTGAAAAAACAGTCAATTTCTAAGTGTGAATTAAAAGTAATACTAAGTAGTATGCCTTTGCTTAAGTACTCGAGCTAATTTTTGTGGGTTTGCAGTTAGTTCATCTTCTACTAGGAAAATATTTTTCTACTTATAACAGAAGTAGAGCAATATAAAGTTCCATACTGGAGAAATGATTGTTTTACAGAAAATCACATTATCAAACTGAAATATAATTTTTTTCTAACCTTGTTCAGACTATAGTGATCTTTGAGATCTGCAACGAAGTAAAAAAGTCACATATCAGTGATTCTTCATGTTTTTACAGATAAAATTACTGTTGCTTACTATACTTACAAGCTGAGTGCAAAAAGAAAATGTTTTATGATAGAGTCTATTTTACAATGGACGGTTAAAGAAGAAAGACTAATTTGAACTTTTTTTGCAGAAATAAAAACATTAACGTACCAGCTACACTTGGACCAGGGGTGGACAATAAAATAGCAGTGGTTCGCCATGGTTAGCCTCTGGCAGGCTGCTGCCATTATATTTACCTGTGGTTCCAGGGATTACAACTGCCATTAGCTGCGGATCGCTGTTCCGAGCCAATGGGTGCTGCAGGAAGTGTTGCAGACTGGAACCCTGCTTCCCACAGATCCCATTGGCTTGAAATGTGGGGCAACAGTCAGAGCCCACCCTGGCCAGCAGCTGCCACTCTCCTGCCACACAGCTCTGAAGGGAGTCAGAAGTTAGGGTAGCAATACTGCAACCCATTACAGTAGTCCTAAGACTCCCTTTTGGATTGCATCCCCCAGTTTGAGAAACATTGTGTAGTTGTATGTACTTTACCCTATAGTATAAAGGAGTATAGTAGAGGGTAAAAGTAGACAAAACCAGAATTCAAGGGGGAAACTAGATTTCATTGTTCGTGATGTGGTTTTTATATCTGTGGGTGTCCCTGGTCTGCTGGGGAGGTCTAGTGGCTTTGCTGGACCCCCCCAGC